TATCACTTTAGAGGAGAAATTAGCTTGCAACAAAGTGTGCTTACTCTATATCCTTGTTTAACACCGAAAGCTTTTCATTCATTCTTTCATGAATAATCAAGAACTCAAACAGGGACTATGCAGACTAAGCGATCACTTTAATCTTCAGTTTGCTAGATGATTGAAAAAAAAAAAAAAAGAAGACTATTTTTGGTTCGTGAACAATCTCTTATTGAAGCCATGCATTGTATGTATCATAACCTAGCTAGAGTATCTCCAACCATTATGTATATATTTTTGTGTAAATATGATGTGTCATGATGGATTTACACAAAAATTTTGAATTATTTAATTTTAGTTCCAACGGTTGTTTTAAACATTTTGTGTAAAAATATATTTCCCAATAATAATCAACCATATGTCATGTCAGGGCCCACATAATTTTTACAAACTTACTTAATATATGGTTGATTCTTTAATGGAATGAGAAAGAGGAATGAAAAAAGAAATATGTTGATTTAGCCGTGTAAAAAGGTTGTGTATTTTACACAATCCTTTTACACATTGGTGATGTAGCAATGTAGGTTAACAACTGCTGGAGATGGAAACAATTTACACACCATAGGTGGCAGTGTATATTTTACACAAAAGAATATTTTAACATACCACTGGAGATAATCTTAGGAGCTGGAATTGCAGGTTTAATTTTTCTTTATTTTTCATGTTTACTTCCGTAATCAAAATTCGGGTGTACAAATTTCTAGACTATCTCTATCTTTAAATCTCTTTTTTTACTTGGACCATGCTCTTTCCAATTTGTTAAATTCATTAAACACAATGTCACACTCCTCCAATTTGCTAGTTGCCCGTAGGGGACACACCAGAGAATTGGAGCTTACTTAGTTTGTCACACAAAACATAAAACTGTTATTGGAAAACAATCCTTTATAATTATCTAAAAATAGACATTTTTATAACTGTATTTTCATAAAATTGAAGCAAGTAGAATTTTTTGTATAGTTTTCTGTTTTCAATTTTTTGAGAATACAAAACTGTTTTCATAATTACAAATTAAATAGAACCTTAAGTTCTAAAATGTTCTAGATTTATGTGAAGATTGTGAAATATATTATAACCAGAGTTAGAAGATTCTGAACGGTTGGAGAAGTTGTACAAGATATTACTACATTGTAGAATATTTACTTATATAGTGAGTTTTGTAAAATGTAAATAGGTAGATATATATGTAGAAAGTTCTGAAGTATAATATACATAAGCCTATATAGAGGATAACAACTTGCCAGAGTGAAAATTGTAAGAGGAGGAAGCCATCTTAAGTAGAGAGTATGGGTGGGAGTGGCGTGTGATGATTGAGTGCCACACTACTAACATTGCAAGGAGCGATTTTTTATTCACTAACCATGACCGTCACCACGAAACAGAATTTATAGGGGGAGAGTCGGATGCATTGGGTATTTAGATATTGTTTCTCCAGGGTGTAACCACGTTGAATAGAGGAAAAATGGTTGCAATTCAATTAGGACATTTTATTTCAGATACCATTCTGAATTTGATTGAAAAAAATAAAAAATCAACAAATCAACAAATATGAGAAATATAAATTATTTAAATAAAAAACGCAAACAAAAAAAATAATGATAAAATAATATAAAAAAAATAAACCTAATATTTTCATAAAATACAATTATATGAAGAAAGAAATAAGAAGAGAAAAATAATCTTACAAAAAAATTTTAAGAGGTAAAAAAATAAAAAATTAGAGAACTTTGAAAGGCAAAAAATATTCCGTAATTGAAGAAGGTATATGTAACCTTTTTTTCAAAAGAAAATTAAAGGAATTTGAAAACTTTAAGGGGCACTATTTAAAATTTACCGTATACCTATGTGTGTGTCTATATATATATATATATATATATATATATATATATTGGTTGGAGCATGGGCAGGGGGGACCATGCCCTCCCTAGGCTTCCCCTCTGGGTTTAATTAAATAATAACACCAAAGATATAACTAAAACACTTCACAGTTAATTAGTAATTACAAGTATAATCACCATCCGTCGGAGCTCAATATGGTGCTACACAGCATAATACTATACTCAAATCTGAAGACGAGAGAATTAAAAATTATAAAATAACTAAAATTCGTGCTAGGTAAACCATCAATCTAAGTGAATGATTGTTCATTACCCACTAAAGTTGGTGTGAATGTTAAAACATTTTTGTTATCTTTTATGTTCTGTTCTATAAGTTTAAAAGATGAATCACCCATATTAATTATGAAATACATAGATCCATTTTCGTGATTGAAAAAGTGTTAAAACAGTGCAACCAAAATCAATTTAACATTTTGGGCAAATGCAATTGAATGTATTATATTTGGTGAATTTGTAGAATCTCAATATTTAGGTTTGGTTAAGTTGTCTATTTCTATCATCTAAACAATATATTCCACTATTTTTGATGTTCTCAAAAACACTCCATTGCCCAGGATTATATTTATCATCAAAAGCATATTATATATGATTTTGTTACAGGGCTCTGCATTACTTTCATTACCCAAATAAAAACATTTCAAACTATTTTGCTTTAGATGATCAAATGTTGCTATATATGCCATTTGTATACTACATTATTTATGAAACCACGTACCCAAAGTATAAAATCAAGAAACATAGATTCGAATTTTTATATACTGTACACACACGCACGATTTAATATTGTTTAAGAAAATTCGACACCTTATGTTGACTTTCACAAAAAAAATGTTGACTTTCACAAAATCAGTTATTTAAATTTTCAAAAAAGATTGAAGCATCAAATCAAAATCAAACTAAGATCATGCACAAATACATTCACATTTGACTTAATTTGCTGACCTTCTCTTTACTTTGTTGAGCGATCCATACCCAATGTCAAAATTTTGGACTCAATGGGTTCCAGTTCCCAAACAAACCTCGTTCCATCTGTGAGTCAATCAAAACAATACAAAATATTGTGCTGAAATATGTACATAGCATTTGTCTTAAGAGTATATATAGCACCGACTACAAAAACAAGACAACTACTTCGATTGAATCAATATTCTTTTTATATATACAATTTGTTTAAATCTCTCTTGCAGGGTTTCTAACTGTTTGAATGAATGATATTGTAGGAAGAAATTTAGTTCAAATTCCGAAGTGACGAAAGTTTATTGAAGAGAATGATGTGGGCCACTAGCAAACAGGCCGGAAAAGGCCCAAGGGGGAACAAAGGCCTAACCGCCCAAGGAAACAAAACCCCACCCCGACTAATTTTTGAGAATCTAAGAAGGAAGTTTCCCAACCCTGAGCCGAGTAAGTCGCTAAGTATGATAATGGAGACTTGACCCCAAATAATCGTAAGCTCTTACTATGAGCTTACTAGGAATCGAACCACAGACATTGCTAGGAAGTACCAAAGCTCAAGTAATTTTACTACTATGCCAATCCCTTGGTATTAAACCCACACTAATATTGTTCATTGCTACTGTACTATGTATTAGTCTAGTGTGCGTGACTAATGTGAAAAAAGCGTGGTATTAATGAGGCTCAATTTGTTATATTTGCAAGTTAAACTACAAATATAAAGCTTTTACTTTGAGTTAAGTAAACAATGTGAAGGGGTACATGGACTTATTTCCAAACTTGTAACGAAGGGGCACCCTGTACAAATTTGTGCGACATCTCTACTTGCCATTAATTTTTAATACATGAACTACACGAAAACATGAATGAATATGTGAACACATTTTCAGCTTTATTACTCAATTGAGTAAGAATCAAAATAATTGAACTTAAATTATATACATATTTATTTCTAAAAATATTATAAAAATTATTTTGAAACAAATTCCAACATCTGCCACACAGGAGAAGCACGAGCGTTCAGGAGGACTAAGCATGATAATAAAGCTTTTGAATCTTTCAGATTGACGTGGAGTTATAAAGTATTGAAGATAGATTTGGTAGATTCTATAATGCATAGTGAATTTGTGAAAATCCCCCTTTTAATTATTGAAGTATTATTGATTTTTATATATTGATTATTTAATTAAAACATAATAATTGGCATCAGAGTCATGGATAGGGTTATGATTTTCTTGTAGAAATTAATAATACTTCAATGATTGAGAAAGAAAAATTTAGTCATCACATCTGATGGAAGATTATACCTTTGAGAATTCTTTAGAGATCTTTGAGGGTTGAGAAAAACAGGAAACAACCAAACAATCAATATAGCCTAACCTCCTCTGCTGCTGAGATGCTGCTCTGTTTGTTCAGTTTCTGAGCTGAGATTCTACCCTACTGCTGTTAAAAAAGGGTGTAACTAAAATCAATCTAGCATCCTTGAGAAAATGCAAAAGCAAAAGCAAAATAACTGCATAGAGAACAAATGGCTAAAGATACAACACTTTGCTACCTTCTCTAGACTTAGGGATCCAGCATTGCCCCAATGTCAACCTTTCCAACTCTCTCCTTCTTGTTGCCGACCTCCACCTTGTCCACCAGATTGAAGCTTTGCTGGCAAGATGCCGGCTTACAGGCCCTAAAGTGCACCGGATTATAAGGCAAACAACCTCCATTAACGGAATTACAATCCTTTAATTCAGATTATTAGCTTTTGTATTGTATTGGGTCAATTACATGGGCCTGGTCATTTGGTTTTGCCCAAAATTGGGCTGTTCCCCTAAAAGGGTTGTTTCGGCTTCTGGCCCATACTGTAATTATTACTTTCAGTTCAATGAATTTGCTTTAAATTCCAAAAAAAAAAAAACTCACTTGGCCCTAAACAGATAACATAACATTTGTCGGTCAAACGAGACAACGAAAAATTAATCTTTTTGTAGAAATATTTCTACAACCCATGTGGTAAAGCAAATTTAGTAAGACACTGACACTTGTCACACAAATATTGGTCCAAACCCATTATAAAAGGCCACCCATTTCGACTAAGTTTTGCACCATCACAACCCAAAGATGTCTCTTACATACTTGCTAGTATTGTTCCTTGGAGTGGTGGTTCTCGCCACTCCCTCCCTTGCTCATTACCCCAAACCACCCTCATATACGCACAACCCACCTCTTCCTCCTTTTCACAAGCCTCCCCCACTCGTGAAGCCACCACCGGTGGTGAAGCCACCAACCCCAGTTTACAAGCCACCTCCGGTGGTGAAGCCACCAACCCCAGTTTACAAGCCACCAACCCCAGTTCACAAGCCCCCTCCGGTGGTGAAACCACCAACCCCAGTTTACAAGCCGCCACCGGTGGTGAAGCCACCAACCCCAGTTTACAAGCCACCTCCAATGCACAAGCCTCCTCCGGTGGTGAAGCCACCAACCCCAGTTTACAAGCCACCCCCAGTGCACAAGCCTCCTCCGGTGGAGAAGCCGCCCCAACACAAGCCACCAACCCCAGTTCACAAACCTCCTAAAACGGAGAAGCCACCACCAGAACACAAGCCACCAACTCTGCCTCCCAGAATTGTGAGACCGCCACCTATCCACAAGCCATCACCACCTTATGGTCACTTCCCTGGACACCCTCCCCTAGTGAAGCCACCAACTCCATACATGAAGCCGCCTACTCCACACTACAAGCCACCATACAAACCACCATCCCCGGGCCATCCCATCTGATCAGTTTCTATACACACATATAGATCGAGTTGCTACAAATAAGATGTGCTGCTGCAGGATATATAGTTTAATGCTTTCATGTATTACTAGTGAATGCTTGAGCTATTACTAGTGAATTCTCTCTTTTCTTCATTTGTAGCAGATGAGCATATCATTTTTCTTGTGTAATGCGGTGAGTACTGTTTATATACAGTACTATATATCTAGAATATATGGATGGATTTCCTTTTATATATTGACCTTTTGGTGCCTTTTGACTTACAAATCAGCAAATGTTATTGAAATTTCGTAGTCTTTTCGTTGCATGAATAACAATTGCAAACCACATCACATATTCCTTTATAGTTGTATAACAGAAATAGAACTTAAAACCAGTGGCCCTCAAAGACCAAATGATCGACAACACCAAACCATAAAAATGATATAGCAAAATGATTAATGAAAATGTTATTGATAATCTTGTCCATTAAACTTAAAGCTCATTATAGACTCATACCATCCCCTTTAGTCTCACTCTATTCTAGGGTCAAGAAAAGCATATGAATGAGATTCAAACATGTATTGTACGTTGCACCTGACCATATAAACTTTTGATATTATTTGCACAAAGTCAGTATCAGATCTACATTTGTTAAAAAGTAGTTGCATATGCCAATTAAAAATGTATTGATCCCTCAATAATTTGATGGCGGATGCCCTTCCAAAAAATATTTACCTTCAGAAAAGACAATTTGATGCATGGCAAATTGCATTAAAATACACAGCAAAGAAGTACAAGATCGATATATAACCTATCTAGTATGTAGTATTCAACAGCTCAATAAAGTTTCATATATGTTGCATTTGAGAGTAGTCAATCGATTTTTTAAAGTTGAAACTTAAAAAAATAATAATAATTAGCTCAAAGTAACAAAGCTTTAATATCAATTATTTGGATTTGGCTAATTAACTTGTCAATTCTATCATCTAAACAGTATGTTCAACTATTTTCAAGCATCTCAAACACTCTCCATAGTTCAAGATTATATTATCAAAATCCCTTTTGCTATGAATATATATATATATATATATATATATATATATTCGCATTACTTTGTGAAAGATTGAATGCCGAGTGTACGAAATACCTAGTGAAGTCCTTTTCATTGAGCCATCAGTTTCACAAAATTTCAATATGCCACGTTTATGGTACCGACTAATAGAAACATGCAAGTCTCTGACTCAACAATCTTTCAATATGCCACGTTTACTCCCAAATTTAAGGTCATATATTGTCCAACATTTCAACTCAGTAAGGCCTATCATATCCATATCGATATTAAAATTGAATACCATACTTTTAGGTGGTCATGCCAGATTAATTATCAGGAAAATTTATTCAAACCTTGGCCATAATTTTTTTTTTTCCCCGGTAAATACCTTGGTCATAAATTATTTTGCAATAATGATCAAGAACTTGCAAGGACTTATATATAAATCATTCTATTTTCTCCTTTTCAATTCTCTTCATCTGTATATCGAATTTCAATATTTTCTTGGACAAATTTGTTCTACCTCAATCCCCAATTAAGCTGCTAACGCTGTCTGATTCATGAGTCTAGCAGTGTCCATTAGACATTACCTTCTTTACCGAAATAAAAACATTTCAAACTATTTTTCTTTCAAGGTAGATGATCAAATGCTACTCTGTGTACCAATTGTATGCTACATTTTTCATCAATTAGAGTAATAACAATTGATTTTTTGTGCAACTCCAATTAGTACGTAGCATCCAAACAAGAACTCTTGATTAGTAAAGTACGTACTTAAATCAATAATTAACACATCAGTCCCGATAATATCTTTTTCTTCATTTTCCCTATCTATCAAGGTCACCACCCAAGTGTAAAACCAAGAAACATTAGATTCGAAATGTCCAATATTTCAAATACGCCAAATCTCCGGAAAGATAAATATTTCAAATGACAATGGTGCTGTATGGTTTCTCTCCCCTTCTTTACGAAGTCATGCCTTGATGTGTACAGTTTACATATTGGTACTATATATACTGTATACACATGAATGGTTTGGTATTTTTGGGAAAATTGGACACCTTAGGTTAACATATATATATACAGTATCTGTCAAGGTCACCATCCAAGTGGAAAACCAAGATATATAGATCGAAAATGTCCAATATTTTCAACTTAGAAAATGACAATGGGCCTGTATGGTCTCTCTCTCCTTATTTACTGATCGAGTCATGCATTTCCGTGCAGTGTTTACATATTGGTGTATACTGTATACATGCACATGCATGCTTTGGTAGGTTGTTGACTTTAACAAAATCGCTTATTTAATTTTTCAAAAACAATTGAAATGTCGATCTAATCAAAATCTAACTAAGAACCATTATATATATACAGTTGTTTAATCTTTTGAAAAAGAAAAAAAAAAAAAAAATTCATGGACAAATATAAAAGTAGGTGTGCTGCTAAGAAAATACATGGCACGGCTGAAAAGGGCAGCACATTCACATTCGACTTTACTGACCTTCTCTTTACTTGTGGACAAAAACCATGCCCCCAATGTCAAAATTGGGGACTCAATGGGTCCCAGTTACCAAATAAACCTCATTCCATCTGTGAGTCAATCGAAACATTAGTGAAAAAAAAATCGAAACATTACAAAATCTTTTTGTTGAAATATGTACACAGCCAGTGTCTTAATGTTCTTCAATTGAATTAATGTTCTTCAGGTCGGTGGGCCAGTTCAGTCCTGTACGCTTCTGCAGGTTTGTAACTGTTGGAATGAGTGAGGACTCAATCAGTGCCTTAAAAATTTTAATTTAAATTGATTTAAATTAAAATTCCTCTATTATTATTATTTTTTTTTTATAAAGCAAGAAGGGTTAGAAATTAAATTAGTAGGTGTAAAGAGTATAAGTCTGGCACTCCCAAAATTTACCGAAAACACTGACCACTAAATTATCGAGACATCTGCAAGATTTCTCTAATTTTAAGACACTCGTTTTACCAAACGGAGAGCATTTGTTAATATTTTTGGATAGAGTGTAGGAAAAAGACCCACTAGCAAACAGGCCTAAAAAAGGGCCAAGGTAGAAAAAAGGCCCAACCACCGAATTAAACAAAGTCTTGGCAGGGATTGTGTTAGTTTCATGGGTGAAAAGAATTTTCTAATTGGGCCAGATTTGGCCCATTCCAAAAAACCCAGTCCAAGCCTGAAAGCCACCTTGGCTTGGGCCTTACCTCTATATAGAACGGGATGTATTTGTTGCGACAGACCGTATTGGGGCTGCACCCGTCGCGCGTATCAGTGCTCATATGAAAAATAAATAAATAAATAAAAATAATGATAATTTACTGTTTTCTATATTTGACGGATACATTTTGGACACTTACTCGCATTTCGGACGGTTGGTTTAGATATTCGGAATGATCGACACATTTTACACTCTTTATCTTATATAAAATAAATACTAAAAATAACATTGTGATCATACATAAAAGTGTTCAAACTCTCAAAAAAAAAAAAAAAAAAATACTACAATGACAAAATATAATAGTAATATAACATATTCTTTTTTATATTCAACTAGCGTTCTCTTATACCTTATGTAACTTTAGTATAGAATTTATAAAACTAATTAAAGTTCTATTATTGTATTACTAATAGATATATAAATTAAATTTTATATTCATATTAGTTCTGCTCATGACGTGAGCGTGTCCTTTTTTCAAAATTTTGATGTGTGCGTATCAGTGTCATATTATATTCATATCATATCATATCATATCTGTGCTTCTTAGTCCACATCCATGACCATAGGAACTTAAAACAGATAAAATATGATGTTTTTTCAATGCATCATATGCTTTCAGAATTTTTTTTCAATAATTGTCCAAGCAAGTAGGACAGAGGATCTACATGTTTGGTGGTGCTTTATGAATTATGCATCATATGCTTTGAAGATACAAGAAATTCCTTCCCCCTTTCTCTCTCTAGAATTCCTGTATCTCAACCAAAAAGATCTCCCTTTTTCTTTACCTTACTTCTCCTATTTATAGAGATTTACAAATGTCGATGGACTGCTAGATCTAGGCCCGTTCCTCCATGAGTCCCCGTCCTCTTTGATGGGCTTATGCGCGTTCGGCCCATATGGCAGTGCCTTTCTATGGGCCTGACCCACCTGTATGGACTAAATGTCGCGTTTACAAGTCATATCCGGCCCATGTCCTATCGGGCCTCCTCAACTGCCCCCATAATTACCCCTTGTTTAATAAGGGGGTAATTATTGAAGGCGTCTCATCATGACGTTGACGGCTCGAGAAACCCACATGGGGGAACGGACGGTCAGATCCAGAATCAATGTTCCGGGGCTCGATGAATTTCTCACCTTCCTGACGCTTCGGCCCTCGGGTCCCCCTCGCCTTTATAAGGCTCTAGAATACCACTCCATGCCTTTTTACCGTCTCCATCATCAGTCAAATCTCTCTCTTTTTAGAACAGCGCTAAGCTTTTTCCGGTGAAATCCTTCAAGAGTCGTTCTTCCAGCGGTCTTGCAGTGCTCTTTGTTGCTTTCTACCTCAGAGGTTAGTTTTGTTCCTTTTTACTTTCGGCAGGCTTCTTTTTACCCCTTTTAGATCCTTCAAACACTTCCACCATGGTTGTAGATCTAGATGTTCTTCGTATAAGACTTAGACTTCCTGACAACATCGAAGTTAGGGTTTGCCCTAAGGATGTTAATATTATGACCGGTGCCGGCCTCCTGCCCGGCGAAGTTTTATTTTCAAACCTTCAACTGAATGTCGTTAGGTTCCCTCTGCACCCCTTCTTTAATTATGTCTTCAATAGACTGGGGATATCCCCCCTGCAGGTAAACCCCAATTTCTTTAGAATCATATCCGTTATGCTTCTGTTGATTCGTGACAGAAGTCTGGACCTTGACCTCATAGATCTTCTTCTGTGTTATAAGGTCAGCAAGATCCGAACTAACGAGC